TTAAAATGCGCGCTGACCAATCTTTGGCATGAAACTTTGCAGTACGGAGAGTTCAGACACTACTCTCAACAAACCCGGTTCTGCAGGGGGAAGGTAAGCATAGGTTGCTCGTTTAGAGAACCTTTCCACGCGCATGCAATCATCAACTTGCCCGGTGGCTCAGGTTCTTTTAGTCGCACGAGGTGCCGCCTATCCGAAGGAATAAGTAAACACTTCCCCACAGGACTAATACACGGCGGAGTTGAGAGGTTAACGAACGCTCTTCGTACATACATTGTGGCTTCTGGGTATCATGTGAACTTTAAAGAAGCCCTCCAAGTTACTTATAGGGAACAGACAAACTATCCCAAATCAGTGGTTCGCTGTTAGCTAGCAACAGCAGAAGCGACCGCTTTCAGGCTGAGGAAGCCCATTTTGGCGCACACAAGAACCTCCTGCATGCTCCGCGTTTAGCATGGCGAAGGTCGCTGCCCTCCCTCCTTCTCAGCCTTCGCTGTTGCTTGGCCAGTTGTCTGTTATCATTATCCCTATTCCCATGACTTAGCTGTATGACGACCATACCATGCACGCCGTTCCTATATAAATGTACTGGTCCAATGAGTATTTATCGAAAGAGCTTGTATGCTCGCTAACTGCTCTTTTGAGTATAACTTTTAATTTAACACCAAATGCAGCCCTGCGAGAAAGTAAGAAATCTTTTTCGGATGGATGAGTTTATAGTTATAATCCCCTGAATTAGTCCTCCAGGCAACACGGAAGTTTAGGTTACGTAATTGTCTGCCGATTTCCACATGAAATACCCACGTACTTAATGAAGTGAGTTGACAATTTCCGGCGTCTGTCAAATGCAATTTACCCATTTAGTTGTGCTAATTGACTTATAAGTACGATAAGGAAATTATGACATTGATTTTTTATCCTCCGACCCAAATTTTGGATAAGCAAAGACTGCCTATTTTTATTGATTCAGGCATTCTTCTTATGTCCATTTAATGCCATTTCTTTCCCTGTACAGTTTTGTTAACGGAATACCATCTGTAAGTTGTTGCTTTCCACAGAAATTATATTCTTAACGTGGAGGTGATCAGTTTTTTTGTTAAAGTCTACAGGCAAGGAGGAATATTTAGTGATAATATTTGGGACGAATTTGCTAAGCAACTGCGGGTTTATCAATTTCTATTAACACCCTGCCAACAGTCAGCCATTAGTATTACTTAAATAATTATAATCATAATGGCAAACCAGCTACTAGATAATAATAGAACTTGAAAATTGGATTATGCGACCAAACGCGCACAGTGAATTCTAGGGGACAGATTGATGAGCAAAACCCCTCACAACTGTGTAAAGCCGTAGCAGGATACCCAGGAAACACGCGTCTGGGCTTAATGCTGGTACCTATGCCGCCATTAAGTTTAATTAAACTAAGTCTAACGTCTGCCAGCCTATAAGTACGAGAAGATCATTGTCCTACGCAAGCTCTGATTTTAAATAAAGGACCTCGGCTACGAGTGTCGCACACACATGGTAAGGGCTAGGGACACACGTGAGCTCACCGAAGTCGGGCCTCCTTCTGACTCAGGGCGATATAAATCATTATAATACAAGGCAGACGGTAGAAAGTCTACATACGACCTAATGGTTAAAAATTACGTCCATGTTTTTAATTGAAGTATCCTGCAATTGTATTGAAATTCGCGGGTCGCTACTGTTTATTTGCTTCTTGGGGGAAGTTTAATTTTAAAATTAAAATTATTCGCTTGTTCTTAGACAATGAGAATTCCGATCTGCAGGCCACTATGAGAAATACAGGCATGCCACACTATTCTGAGCAACTAATATCTTTGACAACTGAGTAATTTACATGCATTTACAACACTTGTGTTTTGCAGGTCCGCGTCTAAACTGCCAAAGTCTAGATTCAGATGCATAATTAACTTGGATAATTAACCTTCCTCAAACGGTCATCGAATATTAAACTGTCAAAATAGTCAAAGTGATTAGAACACTAAACGCTTTGCCTCTGTTTGTATCAAAATGCGGTGTTGGAAATGTTTTTTGTTCTACGGACGAAATATCCAAAATGCTACTATTTTGGCACATAAGATAACTTCTTGATTTCCATTTATTTTGTAACAA